TGTGTGTGTGTGTGTGTGTGTGTGTGTGTGTGTGTGTGTGTGTGTGTTTGTGTGATGATTCCAAGGTTATATGTATTGTGTAGATTATAATGAACTGTCACACGGATTACCATAGATTATTTTCAGTATAGTAGACAGGAGGCCTATAGCCAGCAGTGGTGTTAACGGGCTGAGATAATGATGGTAGCGGGCAGATTTAAACAGTTTAGAGCAGCGGTCCGTAAATGACCAACTTTCCGTGTTCGTTTTTCGAAAGTATCGCAAACATTTCCGAGCATGTTTGAGAAAAATAAATTATTTATTCGATTATGTTATTTTTACCGTGATGTGTGTAAGGGCGATGTGCAGTTCGGCACCAGGTGAGCAGTGCACAAGCCCTTTCAAGCCTTAGTTGAGCGAAGGTGCCTCCCCACTCTGCCTCGCCGATTACGCACGCTGTGCCGTGATGCATTATCTGTGAACATGGCGTCTATATTACTAGACAGTCCTTTGAGGGAACTTTGAACCTGTTTTTAACGAACTTCAAAAACGAGGAGGTTCTCAATATGACTGACTTGTTTTTTTTTATATACGTTACGCGATAACTCCGGCTTTTGTGAACCGATTTTGTTGGAAAGAGGATACCTTAGCAGTGGTTCCATTTAAATTTCTTCATTTAATTTTCTTCAAGAAAATATTCCACATGTAAGGGTGGCATACTAGGGGATACATTTCATAAAGACTTGGCAAATAGATATAATTGGTTTCGAGAAAATTAGCCGACTTGGAACTCTGATTGAAATACCAATACTCACTCTTTTTGACATTAGCCGCTCACGCGATACATGCAGCCGTAGACGCATACCACACCTAGAGGTGCCGGTGATGATTTTATACCGATTTATCGGATATCGAAGTTATAACAGGTAAAAGAACTAATACTAATTGCTATTTCGGTAACTACTCTAGCAAACCATAAAGTTTTTAATGCCTGGGTCTGTCATTTAAAAAAAATAAACAACTTCAAAAATACGTCACGACAATCGTGTGTGTTATTGTTTAGGCTGGTGATTTCGGTGTTTATTTATTGAAAACATACCGTAAGTAGCGTTTTATAAGTTTATAAATGTTTATAAACTATACTTTAAGGAGTAATTTCATGGTAAACGTTAGAACCACTCAAACGGAATATTATCATATTTACCCAGGTACACCAAAAATTTCATTAGTGCTTTTTAAGTGCAGGATTTGCGGTGTACAGATATAACTGCTTTATATTTGAGATATTTTTGTTGGTAGTACGGAGGGTATTTATTTAGCAATGCAGAATAATAATTTTTATTTATAAAAACTTGTATTTAAACTGAATCCTTTTCTAATTTGCGAAACCAAATAGCCGCCATTTTGCGGTAGGATGAGCGCATCGCGTGAGCGGTTAGAGGGCTTTACACAGACATTCTTTCGCGCGTGACACAGTTTTCGTGCGCAATTGAGCGCGCCTGTAAATATGTTGAAAGGAAAAGAGAAAGACTGGGCGATTGTACTCATCAGTCACGCGTGCAATTGTGCGTTCCAAGGTTGCCTGTGACACGGACGCTCTTCCGTTGTAATAAAAACGAACACGAGCTGTCGTGCGCGCAAGAACGTTAGCTTATAAAATTACCCACAGGTAAATGATCACGCGCGATAGAGTGACTGTGTACAGGGGGCTATTCTGCCGTCCACCCACTAAAACGCGGTTAAATTAAAAATGGTCTATTATCATTCATTATATAAGCAAAAGACAGAGCACAAAATTCTCTTTTAAAAACACTTAAATAAGTTAACGTTATAATTATTAATACAAAGATCGAACACTCAGAAAAAATTCCTTCGATCCGGCCGGATTCGAACCAGCGGACCTTACGAATTATTCTATGTGCTTGCGTCGTATCTTAGGACGCTGTTGGGACTGCCTCGCTTTTGCAGTGCATCAGGTATGTTCGCGGAGGCGCGTACTGATAACTTCAGTGCGATAATAAGCAAAAGAATGGTTTCCCTGATGCGTCGTGCGCGTGACAGTTCCAGCAGCCTCGTGCTTGGTCTGGTAGTATCAGATCTGCGATACATTTAAGCACTGGAACTACGCACATATGGGTTCCAGAGGCTTGGTGTAAAACCTAATGTAATTTTATTTTTTTTCTCTGACAATCTATTTTACTAACATAGGCTATAAGTTTTCTGTAACTAACGTGATATGGGTAAAGTCTGCAATAAATTCTTTTTTTTACTTTGTAGCTGTAGCGTCATCTATGAGAAGTATATGATATTTCCGTTCGTTCGTTCCGTGGCTCAGTTGGTATAGCGTCTGGCACGGTATGCAAGAAGACGTCGGTTCGAA